CAAATTCTTTAATTACGCGGTTGGGAATACCGTCCAGGCCATGCGATTTAAAAGGCTTGACTTTGAGGAGTTTATGACAGACCTCAATAGGTGTGATTATTGGAACCGGCTGAGGAGCGGGTAAGTAAGCTGGTAGGGAACCAAGATCGAGGGGTGGAAGATCAGCATTGATAGACAGGAAATGGTCGTTTACTACGTTAGCAAGATTGGTCCCATGTAAGATAAGTAAAATTTATAGTAACGCAAATCAGCGTTTTAGACCGAGATTCGTTAGTGAGCATCGTGTAATATGAGACGTATGAAGTTTGACTACTGGCTGCGTTATAAACTGTGCTATAAATCTTATACTGTAAACGTAATTTAGCTTCGAAACGGCAACAGTTCTCAAGTATAAGTTTGTAAAAGGCGAAAACAATGCACACTTATTTGTCTTTCCCCGCAGTTTAATATGTTGTGAGATGAGTTTAAACCTACCCCACTCACAAACCAATTATATCTGAATAGTTCTGTTCCAGGATAGTCGTAATTATATGGTCTTTTGCATCATTCCAAAGACAACAAGTAACTTTTGAGTAAATTTCCGCGGATTTTTCACAAGGAAGAGAGCTATGATAATATTAGACGTGAATATAAATGTGCTTATTAAGCATTATCGCTAGTAGCACACGTACCTGTATTGGTATGTAAAGTGTTAAAAATAACACAACCCCCCCCCCCCGGAATGAATGGATAGTATCTAAAACTACCAAAACTTGCCCACACATGCTTCGATACTGGAATATATGTAATTGGGCGGTATAAACTTAAAACTAAAACGTTTAATTACCAAATTCCAAACACAATTGATCACCACCAAGACAATCTTTGCCAGAAACTATGGGACAGCTGCTGTAATTTCATATATTTTGAAAGGAATAGCGCCCCCCGTTCCCCCAGTTCAATGTTGGGCCAACAAAAATCTGATGTCTGGATGCGCGGCGCCAACATTGAAACGGGTGGGGGGAGGGAGTGTGGAAAATATGTATCAGCAAATGGTATACTACAACCGAATGCATGTGAAAACTAGATTGTCCCAATCTATATTGTCAAAGATTGTCTGTTGAAGTAATACCATTACTCTTAAATTTAACTTAATTCAACTTGTAGACATCATCAAGCTGTGTACGCAGTCAATTTTCATAAGTTCTTCACACCTTTTAGGTCCTTTAGCAATTTCGTTGCACACAGATAATTTGCGTGTACTGTGTTATACAATGCTTGCGTATGCGTGTGTTAGGAAATAGCTAAAATCCGGCTGAATTTCATCGCGTATATTTAAAACCAGATTTAAAGGCTTGTAGTGGTATATTTTAGTCACAATTCATTGAATTCCATGCATGGTAACAGTATTGGAACTCTATTTAAAGAAAATTGACAACTGAGCCAACTTGTTAGTAAACTAAGCGCGTATATGTGACAATGAGATCCATATAGAAACGAATCTCACCACGAATCTCACCATATTTTGATGGGCTCACACGCCATAAAAGCCTTAATAGCAGACAATATCAAACAAATTCACCCTAGGCATCTAAAGTCCAGCATATTTTACAAGATAGGACCATTTTACAAGTTTTCGTAACGAACTGACTAAGATACGAATGATTTTCTAGCAACGATTCTCACCTTTCTGTCATAAAATAGCCAATGAGATATAGATTTATTTACAGATTTGTAGTGAGCTTCGTTCAAAAACGAACTTAAAAAGGGATATCTGCAAAGTTAACCGATTGTAATTAAGGAATATGGTTTCTTGTACCCATATGCATATAAAATGTAAGATAAGTAAAATTTATAGTAACACAAATCAGCGTTTTAGACCGAGATTCGTTAGTGAGCATCGTGTAATATGAGACGTATGAAATTTGACTACTGGCTGCGTTATGAACTGTGCTATAAATCTTATACTGTAAACGTAATTTAGCTTGGAAATGGCCACAGTTCTCAAGTATAAGTTTGTAAAAGGCGAAAACAATGCATATTTATTTGTCTTTCCCCGCAGTTTAATATGTTGTGAGATGAGTTTAAACCTACCCCACTCACAAACCGATTATTTCTGAATAGTTCTGTTCCAGGTTCGTCGTAATTATGGTCTTTTGCATCATTCCAAAGACAGCAAGTAACTTTTGAGTAAATTTCCGCGGATTTTTCACAAGGAAGAGAGCTATGATGATATTAGACGTGAATATAAATGTGCTTATTAAGCATTATAGCTAGTAGCACACGTACCTGTATTGGTATGTAAAGTGTTAAAAATAACACAACCCCCCCCCCCGGAATGAATGGATAGTATCTAAAACTACCAAAACTTGCCCACATATGCTTCGATACTGGAATATATGTAATTGGGCGGTATAAACTTAAAACTAAAACGTTTAATTACCAAATTCCAAACACAATTGGTCACCACCAAGACAATCTTTGCCAGAAACTATGGGACAGCTGCTGTAATTTCATATATTTTGAAAGGAATAGCGCCCCCCGTTCCCCCAGTTCAATGTTGGGCCAACAAAAATCTGATGTCTGGATGCGCGGCGCCAACATTGAAACGGGTGGGGGGAGGGAGGGTGGAAAATATGTATCAGCAAATGGTATATTACAACCGAATGCATGTGAAAACTAGATTGTCCCAATCTATATTGTCAAAGATTGTCTGTTGAAGTAATACCATTACTCTTAAATTTAACTTAATTCAACTTGTAGACATCATCAAGCTGTGTACGCAGTCAATTTTCATAAGTTCTTCACACCTTTTAGGTCCTTTAGCAATTTCGTTGCACACAGATAATTTGCGTGTACTGTGTTATACAATGTGCGCGTATGCGTGTGTTAGGAAATAGCTAAAATCCGGCTGAATTTCATCGCGTATATTTCAAACCAGATTTAAAGGCTTGCAGTGGTATATTTTAGTCACAATTCATTGAATTCCATGCATGGTAACAGTATTGGAACTCTATTTAAAGAAAATTGACAACTGAGCCAACTTGTTAGTAAACTAAGCGCGTATATGTGACAATGAGATCCTTATAGAAACGAATCTCACCACGAATCTCACCATATTTTGATGGGCTCACACGCCATAAAAGCCTTAATAGCAGACAATATCAAACAAATTCACCCTAGGCATCTAAAGTCCAGCATATTTTACAAGATAGGACGATTTTACAAGTTTTCGTAACGAACTGACTAAAATACGAATGATTTTCTAGCAACGATTCTCACATTTCTGTCATAAAATAGCCAATGAGATATAGATTTATTTACAGATTTGTAGTGAGCTTCGTTCAAAAACGAACTTAAAAAGGGATATGTGCAAAGTTAACCGATTGTATTTAAGGAAAATGGTTTCTTGTACCCATATGTATATAAAATGTAAGATAAGTAAAATTTATAGTAACGCAAATCAGCGTTTTAGACCGAGATTCGTTAGTGAGCATCGTGTAATATGAGACGTATGAAATTTGACTACTGGCTGCGTTATGAACTGTGCTATAAATCTTATACTGTAAACGTAATTTAGCTTGGAAATGGCCACAGTTCTCAAGTATAAGTTTGTAAAAGGCGAAAACAATGCATATTTATTTGTCTTTCCCCGCAGTTTAATATGTTGTGAGATGAGTTTAAACCTACCCCACTCACAAACCGATTATTTCTGAATAGTTCTGTTCCAGGTTCGTCGTAATTATGGTCTTTTGCATCATTCCAAAGACAGCAAGTAACTTTTGAGTAAATTTCCGCGGATTTTTCACAAGGAACAGAGCTATGATGATATTAGACGTGAATATAAATGTGCTTATTAAGCATTATAGCTAGTAGCACACGTACCTGTATTGGTATCTAAAGTGTCAAAAATAACACAACCCCCCCCCCCGGAATGAATGGATAGTATCTAAAACTACCAAAACTTGCCCACATATGCTTCGATACTGGAATATATGTTATTGGGCGGTATAAACTTAAAACTAAAACGTTTAATTACCAAATTCCAAACACCATTGATCACCACCAAGACAATCTTTGCCAGAAACTATGGGACAGCTGCTGTAATTTCATATATTTTGAAAGGAATAGCGCCCCCCGTTCCCCCAGTTCAATGTTGGGCCAACAAAAATCTGATGTCTGGATGCGCGGCGCCAACATTGAAACGGGTGGGGGGAGGGAGGGTGGAAAATATGTATCAGCAAATGGTATATTACAACCGAATGCATGTGAAAACTAGATTGTCCCAATCTATATTGTCAAAGATTGTCTGTTGAAGTAATACCATTACTCTTAAATTTAACTTAATTCGACTTGTAGACATCATCAAGCTGTGTACGCAGTCAATTTTCATAAGTTCTTCACACCTTTTAGGTCCTTTAGCAATTTCGTTGCACACAGATAATTTGCGTGTACTGTGTTATCAATGCTTGCGTATGCGTGTGTTAGGAAATAGCTAAAATCCGGCTGAATTTCGTCGCGTATATTTAAAACCAGATTTAAAGGCTTGTAGTGGTATATTTTAGTCACAATTCATTGAATTCCATGCATGGTAACAGTATTGGAACTCTTTTTAAAGAAAATTGACAACTGAGCCAACTTGTTAGTAACCTAAGCGCGTATATGTGACAATGAGATCCATATAGAAACGAATCTCACCACGAATCTCACCACGAATCTCACCATATTTTGATGGGCTCACACGCCATAAAAGCCTTAATAGCAGACAATATCAAACAAATTCACCCTAGGCATCTAAAGTCCAGCATATTTTACAAGATAGGACGATTTTACAAGTTTTCGTAACGAACTGACTAAGATACGAATGATTTTCTAGCAACGATTCTCACCTTTCTGTCATAAAATAGCCAATGAGATATAGATTTGTTTACAGATTTGTAGTGAGCTTCGTTCAAAAACGAACTTAAAAAGGGATATCTGCAAAGTTAACCGATTGTAATTAAGTAAAATGGTTTCTTGTACCCATATGTATATAAAATGTAAGATAAGTAAAATTTATAGTAACGAAAATCAGCGTTTTAGACCGAGATTCGTTAGTGAGCATCGTGTAATATGAGACGTATGAAATTTGACTACTGGCTGCGTTACTGAACTGTGCTATAAATCTTATACTGTAAACGTAATTTAGCTTCGAAACGGCCACAGTTCTCAAGTATAAGTTTGTAAAAGGCGAAAACAATGCATATTTATTTGTCTTTCCCCGCAGTTTAATATGTTGTGAGATGAGTTTAAACCTACCCCACTCACAAACCGATTATTTCTGAATAGTTCTGTTCCAGGATCGTCGTAATTATGGTCTTTTGCATTATTCCAAAGACAGCAAGTAACTTTTGAGTAAATTTCCGCGGATTTTTCACAAGGAAGAGAGCTATGATGATATTAGACGTGAATATAAATGTGCTTATTAAGCATTATAGCTAGTAGCACACGTACCTGTATTCGTATGTAAAGTGTTAAAAATAACACAACCCCCCCCCGGAATGAATGGATAGTATCTAAAACTACCAAAACTTGCCCACATATGCTTCGATACTGGAATATATGTAATTGGGCGGTATAAACTTAAAACTAAAACGTTTAATTACCAAATTCCAAACACAATTGATCACCACCAAGACAATCTTTGCCAGAAACTATGGGACAGCTGCTGTAATTTCATATATTTTGAAAGGAATAGCGCCCCCCGTTCCCCCAGTTCAATGTTGGGCCAACAAAAATCTGATGTCTGGATGCGCGGCGCCAACATTGAAACGGGTGGGGGGAGGGAGGGTGGAAAATATGTATCAGCAAATGGTATATTACAACCGAATGCATGTGAAAACTAGATTGTCCCAATCTATATTGTCAAAGATTGTAGACAAAAATTTCATCACTTGAAAGAGCATCACAAAATTAGTAATATTCCAAAGTTTCGTTGCGAAATGTTGTAAAATGCGGATAATAGGCCTAGCCTTGCGAAATTTGCAATTTTCAGTCATTTTGTATTACAAACGGGAAATTGATGCCCCAACACCCGATTGGGCTGTTAATTTCCCGTGCGTAATACAAAATGACTGAAAAACGGCAAACTTCGCATGGCTATATTATCCGCATTCTACAACATTTCGCAACGAAACTTTGGATTATTACTAATTTTGTGATGCTCTTTCAAGCTGTGATGAAATTTTGGTCTAGATCAAAATTTAGTCTATAATGCAGATGGTCCATTCATTGTTTAAAAATTACGTGACGTAAGCACTTCTAAGGACCATTTAAAGCATGTTTTCAGTTCAACCTTACCGGACGTACCTTTCCTTTTTATCTTTTTATTAATGATTTACTACATGCAAAATAATAATATGACACAACCTTTTTCCCAGGCTTTTCTCCCTTGTAGAAGTAAGGTGATACATAATATTGTAGCACCGAGTGACGAAAGCCATATACGACGAAAGTGAGGAGAATAACTTTTTAGCATTTGCAAGGTCGCGGGTTCGTAAGCTAGCCACAGATTGGAACGATAACTCTATCTTTGTTTTTGAAAATCATCGATATGGACCACAGTTTATTTAGTTTTTAGGTAGGATATTTACCACTGAAATTGAGCATTTAATGCCTAGCTCCCGCGAACTGCACATATGTTTTATACTTATAACAGATCACCCTATAGGCCGCCATGTTGCCTTCACCTAATCATATAGGACCTTTTATCTCAAGTTATCTGCCAATCTATACATAGTTCACTGATCTTTAACGATAAGACACTGTAGCCCGTCGGTCCAAAGCAATACTCCTCAACTAAGTTTCTTTACTTAATTTCTAGCCATTCATCCAGGAGGAATAACTGAAAATACTATAGAATTTGTCTTGAAGGAATTCACCAATAAATCAGTCAGGTAGCTGTATTATACTGTACATATTTTAGGCAATTAGCAGTTTCGAAACCACGGCGGGTGCCTGTGATAAAAATCTTGACTGCATGTCAGACAAAAAATTCAGTTTCAAAGAGGGAAAATGTCCCAAAATGAGCCTATTGATCTTAGAGCAAATGTTATAATCTTTTAAATAATAAATCGTTCTTGTTAATTTCATTTTATAATTATCCCTGTGAAAATGATACATAGTGTTACTACTATTACGGGGAGGTTATTCCAGGTATAGTTTCTTCATTTCCCCCGCAGGGTTTTGTCCCCAGAGGGCCAAAACCCGAGGAGGGCATATATAGAATTCCTCTCGTATATAGGTTGTATTGTTCAGTCGTGAGGAAAAATCTGGGTTTGCTCAGTCAAGCCCGCAAAGGGGTATTGGGAAATTGCCGCAAGTAGCATTGCCATTGGGAATGAAAACCGCAAGTAGCATCCGGAATGAAGGATTTAAACGGAATTGTGGGATATATCACATTTATTAGTACAGATTCTGTACTAAAACCACTAATTCTGTTTGTGATTGGCGCGGTTTAATCAAAGAATCTCCCCGTTGAACCAGAGCCTTCGCGACGTTTCAATTTATTATTTACTGTCGAAGGCTCTGGAAGTTTCCTCTCCATAAGCTGTGAAGATATAACTTGTTTAAACATCTGTCATGTTTTCCTAAACGTATAAACAATGCAGGGATCAATCGGGCCGATTTCACGTTTTTATACAGAATGTTAATGACGAATAGCACTGAATCGGCAGGAAAAATCGCTGTGTGTAAACATAGCTAATAAAAATCGCCCAGAGATTCTTAGTTTCCGTAAATTACGCAGCCTGAAACATTGGGCAGTTTTAGTGTAAACTTAGCCTGCGTAACGGCTCTCAGAGAAAGTAGAGCCTGCACGAAACCCCCTGCTTTGCCGTATTTACTCGTTCTCTCAGAGGACGAGAAATCTGATTGGTTCAAAATGAAAAAGTATGCTAATTTATGCTAAAATTGATACAAACACGGCGGATGTATTTTTGAGAGGCGTTTCTTTGAGTTTTGCATTCAAAAGAACTTAAAGGCCACGATTTACGGTTGAACATTAAAGTTATTTACGAACTTGGTTCACGAAGCTCTAGAGATATTGACTGTGGTGTCTTCGTTGGATTGCTGGATTGCCAGGAGAGAATTGCTATAAATGCTTATGTCTTATGAACAGGACTTGCTCTCTGTGAAGTGATGGCTTTAAACACCTTTAATATTCTCTTATCAGCATCGTTCGAAACTTTAACATTTAATACATCACGGTTGACCGCTGTCGAAACTATAAATTCTATTTGTACGTGTGCGAGAAAGCTACGAAATATCGTAGATACGGACTGCAAACTACTTGTGACAACGATGTAGATTGCCCTAGGCCTAGCGCTATTCCAACAGACTTCAATTTTCTTTAGCCGCCATCCGTATATTACAGTATTTCGTTTTGAAATTTGCGAACATACAGCAATCTATATTTATATTTCATTTTGATAAGTAAATTTGCAAACGTAAACAATCTGTGTGATTGGCCAATTTTGACATCTGTTTAAAGTGGGCGTAGCCCGCAGGCTAAGTGGGCGGAAACGGCAAAGCATGGGGTTTCGTGCAGGCCCTACTTTCTCTGAGAGCCGTTACGCAGGCTAGTGTAAACTATTTCTAGTATACTATATATATATATATATATATATATATATATATATATATATATATATATATATATATTGTTTGATGGATGCTTAATTAAAGGCCGAGTGACTAGCACAGAACACACCAAAAGCAATGGATTGTGGAGTGGAGCAGCCCTCCGTCTGGAAAATGTATATTCAGTGTCGCAGAATGCAGCCCCTGCGTGGTTATTACGAGTGGCAATAGCCTGCCGCACACGAGAGCAACTTACTGAGCTAACCGCCTCGTGAGGCAGCTAGCTCAGCTATGTATTTTCACCGCACACGTTGGGAAAACTACTCAACAACAACATAATTGACAAAATCATTTGCATTTTCCTCCATTTTGTCGCAAGTCACATGAAGAAACCATGGTTTGTCAATGGCTAATTGATTCAAACAGCTGAGCACTTAGCTCACAACATCCGCAGACCCTGAGATTTTTACCTCGCGAGGCGAAAAATATCAAACACGATAGATATTTTCCTTAAGGCCTCGAGAGGTCAAATCCTCACGAAAACTATCCGCCTCGCGAGGCGGTTTGCAAGCCACTCGTGCTTTGTTGCTTTATACAACAAAAAGTATACATTTAATAAAATCACTTAAAATACTAGAGATTTCTTCGTGGGATGTTCTGACGTATATGATTAGAAATCTGCACGGGTTAATTTATTTTCATTAAGCGAACGAGCGCAGATGTAGTGAGCGATTGAGTTGTGCGAAAATACAATAATAAAGCACTTGAGATTTTTCTTCCATTGAAATACGTGTTAACAATGTTAGCCTTAATGAAGATGTTTAGTATACAGCCGGTTTAACTTGTCATCTTTAATATCGTTGTCTTGGGAAAAATAACTATAGCCTTCGTACCTTAATCAATGGAAAACTGTTATTGAATGCAGAGTAGATTCACGGCTGGAATTTCTCGCCTTTTCGGGTTACTTTGTTAATTTCGGCCGAAGCTGTTTTATCCCTTTATTTATCCCCTTATTTCAGTATCTTTACTGCATGAATCGTATTTCAGAGACCCACAAATGGAAAATTTGGCGGTGGTTCATGCCCCAAGGCCTGCTTTGAAGAGCCCCTTTGTTAAAATTTTGGGACTACGCCACTGCCAAAATATATGTCCACAACTGAAGGGGAACCTTCGTAACGATACACGGGAAATATGAAACAGCCGGCTTTGTAGCTGTAGTAGTTTAGATTTAGAATTTCTCACGTGATCCATGCATGAAAGCGATCTTTAAATTGTTAATGCTAACATTAATATCTAGCCTGAACTGAACGTTAATTACCAATGTTTTTGTGGGCGTCTTATCTAGGATTTACCAGATTATTGTTCTAGAAGTTAAGGATGGGCAATTGCGGGACGTAAATGTACGAGTCACAAGATACTACGAAAATAGAACAAAAGGAGAACCATATATCACTGCAGAATTTAAAGCCGAAGACTTTAAAAAACATGAAAAATTCATTGTTGGAGACGGACAATCACTCAATGCACGACGACGAAGAAAGCGAGCTGCAGGTAAAAGCAAATATTATTATGATAAAACTTTGAACACAAGTCATATTTTCTCTGGCAACGTGTTAGCAACGGTTAAGGTTTAACCATGGTCTATCAAGATATGATGGTCTGGAAACTAAACATGCAGAGGTCATTACACCGGCCGTAAGGCCCAGTGTTGAGGTTCCATATTTTCTGTACGAAAATTCTTCGTTTCTTTCGTCAACGTGAAATCAACAGGTGGGAAATTTGCTGTCGCTGGTCAGTAAATTGCGGGCGCTAGCTAAAATTTTGTTTTAAATTATTAAAATAGCAAAAACAAGTTTTTGGGCTTCTCGTTTGGGAAGGAACCGTGGATGTGCAAGAATTTAAGATCGTTTATTCAAATGCTGTTGAAAAATGTCCTGGATAAAAGACTTTAAACTGAAATCGGGCAATTATAAACTAATTATTTCTACGACGAAATATTGACGAAATTTAACTTTTCCCGAAGATGCAAGTTGTTTTCACCCCCTGCCGGGACAGATGAAATTAAAAAACTAAACTCACGGTGGGTTTAAAATTTATTTCTCACGCATTTTTTACTCAGAAATACCTTTAGAAAGTTTATTTATGATTAAATCCTTGAAAACACTTAGTGCAAAAATCGTGATTTTGCTAAAAATAGGAGAAAGCTAAATTTTCAACTTAAGATTGTAAAAAAATCTAGTCGAGAGCCAAAACGAGAGTATCTCTTGAAATGATTCTTCAAAGATTTCTTGATTCACTAATCAAGTATTTTTGATATGAAAATATTACGGGTTGATATCAAGAACGGCACAACCGTCTAATAGTCTGTAATAGTCTGAATAGGTGCCTCTGAATATTCCGCTAGAAATTGCATGTGTTTGCTAATCCTGTTTGTAAAAGCATATCCGTTGGCGTTGAAAGACTAGAGTCTATTGATTCAGAAAATATGATCAGTTTTGCAATCATGCGAATACGTTTCCCTCTCTGTCCAATTCAATACAGGGTGATTTATGGGGGTCAAGATTAGCACAATGAAATAAAAAATAGGTACGTTAGGCGTACATGTATCTGCGCAAAGGAATTGCGTCTTTGCTATGAAAAAATTTCATTCACAATTATTGAGTAAAGTTTATATTTCGAAGTGACTACACGTATAGCCGGCAGCCGGCTGTATAGTCACTTCGAAATAGTAGTCTCCTTCGCAGCCGCTCTTTGTGTCGAGGTTTCACCCCACGAGCGGCTGCTCCCTCGAGCACAGCATTCCATAATTCCATTCCCTTTGGAAAATATCTAAATAAATTTAGCGAGATAAATATCTTAACAAGTCAAAGGTCATGTTTCTGAAATTTAGAAAAACTTTTTTTGTTTCTGAAATTTAAGAATACCTTGATCGAGTTATTTTTCAGACCAGTGACATAGGCTCCCAGGCTCTTTCTTCGGGGAAGGAAAGACCCTGGTCGGAGCTGGTCACGTGGCTCCCAGATTCTGGGTGCTAAATTGAAATTGTACTCAAGGAGGGGTGGTAGAGGAGTGCGCTTGGAAAATCACAACTTCTGTGTTATAGATTTGACAAAATTAAAATTTGCAACAGAAATCCTGAAAGATTTCGTATTTACTTTGACTCGACTTCCTCTATATCATTGAGTGTTACATTAATCAAGCGAGAAGCTGGATCAGATTTCAGTGGACATCAAGGCTTCAATGGCAACGAAAGGACGCTTTTCGCCGTAAAAATCTTCTAGAGCGAACCGCGAACGATATGGTTGTTCCTGTCCGATATGTAAACCCAACGGATTTACCTCGTGTAGAGACGTAGAATTGCTATAAAATAGCAAGATCCTGTGATCCCGTAGCCTACGGTGTACCGTAGGCTAGTGATCCCGCCAACTGTGTGTAAATTCTAAACATGCTCTCCCGACTGTGAAAAGCCCGTCAAAGACTGTGATATATGTAAACCGTTTCATGCGTTTTGACATCGCTGAGACTCTATGATCAAGAATTATGTCGAGGTATAGCTCTCTGTAATCAAACGTATGGTAAAGTCAAAGACAAAGATTCTTTCGTTGCGTGCGGTACAGTTTGAATATTTTAATTATACAAAAGACTGTATACTGTATATATAAATAATTTCGTATAATGAAGTAATCGTCCAATAAGGATGGTTGAGTTGAAACGTGCAACCATGATGATTTGTGCATGGTGAGGTACAGTTCAACATCAAACAAAGGTCTTCTATTTTGTAGCTCTGAAGTTTGCCGGGATTCCAGACCATCATATCCTGACAGACTATGTTTTAACTTATGACTGACGAGATAACTTTTTTACTGATGAGAAAGGGGGGAATGATTGACGTCCAAAGAACAAACCGTTACCGCATATAAATATTGCCTTTAAGCTGGTTGTACGTCTTTTTGTGTTTGCCCATGCATTAATCACCTGGTAACCAGGACCGGTATAATGAAACCTGGGAACGAATTTAGGTCTGTTCTACAAATTATTCGACATGAAATAAGTGATTTACAACCAGATTAGTACAAAATTAAATTAAACTACCCAGATAGTTCGTATTGAGGAACTCACGCATGCAGACAAACTTGTCTTTGCTCAAGTCTCCTGATATAGAACATCTCTCTTGTTTTTCCCTCGTTTAGATAATATTCGTAATGGTCCACTCAACGCTGGCTCTACCTACCGACTATTACAACGTGGTCTTGATGATAAACGCAACGTTATTGAAACTGGAGAATGGACCGAGGAAATATCAACACCGGAGAGAATTGTGCCACCAAATGGTACCTCGAGTGTCGGTGTTATTGTTGGTGTTGTTGTGGCCGTTATCTTAATCATAGTAATTGTATTGGGAGTTTTCTTGTATTTGAAGAGACGAAAGGTTGAAGAGAGCAAGCCATTCGTTGGTAAGTAGGCCTATGTTCTAACAATTCTGAAGCTATACAATCGTGGCAAACATTCTGTGGACAATTAGTGGAAAACTAAAATATTAATGTTCACATATGCACAATTTGGCCTGCCTTTGTAACCCCCCCACCTCCGTACAATGTTGACTTTGATAATGTATTTCACAAAGCTTTACCTTCACTTATGTATTAGCCTTTCAACATTGAAAGGGCCAGCGGGGGGGATGCGAAATGCTGTTTTTGCAAGAATGATATAGGGCAAAGCACGTATTTACACTTGCGCGCGCTGTCCAAAATAATTTTTCCCATGATTGTAGCTCTTACGAGGAGGGGGCTTGGGACTGGTTTTTCAATATGTCTTATACATTCATGGTCTTAGCTAAAAGGCCGTGTTAGCGTGATCAAGAGCGGAAAAACGCGACAAAATAAATTGAACATGGGTTGATTATTTAAAGCCGGTGTGGGTTTATCATAAAGTATGTTGCTATTTACAGCAGACAGAATTTTCCCCTGTTTAATAAACTCTCTAAGAAAGTTTGTTAAGTCTAATTTGTGGAAATACACGATACTTTTATGAAAGGTTTATATATGTAATAGCAACCTTATTGGTGTCAAAATATATAGAAAGCTGGGTTGATAGGATCTACACTGGCACAGACTGTTCAAAATTCAAAATATAGCCTTACATTCACCCCAAGAATCTCAATAATAACTCATTGTAATGTAATATGAAATATGTTGGCCTTGTATTTGGTCGTATCGTAGAACAACCATGCACATGCATGTATTGGCTATTGTTGGCAAGCATAATTGTTGAAGGGATTTGTAGATGGAATTTTTATACATATATCAGACCTAACCAGGAGCAGTTGCGAAAAATACAACTATACGTCCTCTAGCAGGACTCGAACCTGCGGACTTGCGCTTCTGATATTTATAAGTACTACAATCGTGGACATAATTGGTCCCCCTATAGAAAATTCACATATTTTTATGATAAACTCCATGTTGAATCATGTTGCCTTTCTTAAGCCCCCGCTCCCCCAACTCAATGTTGACCTTGTGTCATGGTATATTACCAAATGTTGTTTCGGCGTTGTTCACAACATTGAACTGGGGGGAGGGGGAGACAAAGTTTGTTTTGTCAGTGTTCAATAACTTTGCAGCTGATCTTTATGGACATTTAAAAATGAATTTATTTGTTTACTTTATTAGTATTCACTGCCAATGGGGACAATCTCATTGACATGCATTTACAGTGTAAATCTAGTGATGCGTGCGTCTTGATTCTAATAAATCGTCCTACTTCTGAATTAATATTCATAACTTTCATAAACATCCCTCTAACATGACTATCTGGTCTTTACTGTTGTAGCCTTATTTATTATTCATCAATTTCACTAAAACAATTGGTTATTCTGGGTGGTTTGTGCACGCACTGAAATTTAGAAACACTCTTAAAATCTTAAATCCTAGCTAAACCCTGTATACATGGAAATCAGCAGGATTTTGTTTCAGATGTAGAAGCCCCTCATAATTCATTTGCTTTCTGTTTTCTTCAGTAACAAGACGCTCTGCGGAGCGTTAACTCGCTGGGAAGTGGGGCCATACAACAACGCACATTAGTGTACAATCGAATACTAGCGTGAAAGGCTTAATAACACAGTACTAAAATGCGGAGGCCCTACAAGTAAAGACTAAAGTTATATTTAGTACGCTACATTCTTCTAGTCAAAACTGTCAGCCGCCAGTTGGTCTAGGATTAAACTGCGCTTTAAAACGTTCAAAATAAAATATTTGGGGGGCTTTTTGGCTCAAAATACTATCAAAATGAAGCGAGAAGTGAGACGAATCCACTGGTATACGGCCGAAAAACAGAAAACCAATAATACCAAAGTTATCAAAGATCAAACGTACTGCATTTTTTTATAGTTTAATTATTAATTTTGAGCGTCAATACAATTTCGCTTGGCTTTCAAAGACAAAGGCCATAAATCGCTAGAACACTGTTGTTTAGTAATACATTTGACATCCGTAATTAGTACAATTTCTAACGCTGAATCGGGCGGTGGTATTTTTATCCTTATTGCGCCATTAGGCATTACAAATACACTATGAAACGTACTGCGAGTGATTTGTCAATAATACGTTTTCGTACTGTACTGTAAGCGATTTTCAACAAATACAATTTCGCTTGATTTTCAATTCAAAGGCCATAAATCGCTAAAATACTGGTGCTTAGCAACACATTTGACATCCGTAAGTAATATTTCTTACGCTGAATCGAACGGTGGTATTTTTATCCTTATTGCGGCATTACAAACACAAGGACAAACCTGTGGACAAACGTAGTGCGAGTGATTTGTGCTCAAGAATTCGTACTGCGAACGGTTTGTGAACAATACAATTTCGCTTCATTTTCAAAGGCCATAAATCGCTAAAATACTGGTGTTTAGTAATACACTTGTAAGTACAATTAATTTCTTACGCTGAATCGAACGGTGTCGCTTTCTTCTCAAAATATAAAAGCAGCACAGCCAAATTAATATAACAGTCGAAGGTTGCTGTTTCCATGTCGAAATTCCTTGTAAAATTGTTCAATTTTCCCGAATTTTCCTCAAAACGCAGGGTTATTTATGGATAATTTGGGTAAAAATTGGCAGAAGCCGCAGGAGCTTTATGGATAATTTGGGTAAGAATTAGGGAGCTCATTAATATTCTATTTTGTGGCTATCGATCCACGATCCACTATCCGAGAAAAATCCGAGCCGAAACCTATACTCGCCCGGGGCACAGGTGCCCCAGCGAGTAATTATGAATGAAAATGACATAACAGTATGTTTTTTGTATATTTAAATTATTTTTCTAATACATTTTTAACCTTCGTAGCTGCTGACGGACCTGCCAACCATGGTTTTCAATCTGGAGAAGTTATCGCAATGAGTGACTTCAGTGAGCATTGTCGAATTCTTGCAGCAGATTCAAATTATCTTTATTCCCACGAATACTCACAAATACCTCGCAAGAACGCTAGCCTGACGATGCACCACGCACAGAATCAAGTTAACCGAGAGAAGAACCGTTATAACAACATATTGTGTTACGATAGTACTCGTGTTATTCTCAAAACTGATCCAACAGGGAATGACTATGTCAATGCAAGTCGCTTGGACGGTTTTGAAAAAGAGAAGGCTTATATTGCGTCACAGGGCCCGCTGGAGAACACGTGTGAAGATTTCTGGAGAATGGTATGGGAAAATGTAACAAGTACAGTTGTGATGGTAAGTGCAACTATTTCATTTTACGATTTAGTGTGTTGTACTGCTCTGTTCTGTGATGATTTTACGATTTAGTGTGTTGTACTGCTCTGTTCTGTAAAGTGAACTTAATTAACTAACTTTATTCTACTTGATTGTTATCATTTTTAACCTGTTTTCCTTTAACTACATAAATGTTTTTGTTATTTTAGGTAACCGGTTTGGAAGAAGGTCGTAAAATAAAATGTCATCAATATTGGCCATCAACAGGCAGTATGGAGTATGGACCGTTTGTCGTTACTTTACTGGAGCAAATTGAACTTACTGATTATACAATCAGAACATTTACCGTTTCTGAAGGTAACTCATCGCTCTGCCAGTGCATTATTTTTTTATATGTTTTACAGTGGGGGGAGGGGGGGGGCAAAACCAAGATTAGGGCCCGGGGTGGGCTCCTTAGAGTAAGATTTAGGTTACTAAGGGTAAGGTTAGGATTCAGTCTGGGCCACTAATTGGTGGGGGCTGAGGGGACAAAAGAGCCCCCATTATATTTGTTAAAATATGTCTTGCACTCTGCTGCACTCTATACAATTTCTATGAACAATGTTTTCTTTACAAAATTGATGTAAGCATGTCCCACACGATCATTTTTTAATGAATCCCGACATATTTAAAAAATAGGTACGCAGTGCGTACATGTTGCATGCCATCAAAAGCTAGTGTGAAAACAGACCTACGTTCCGCCCGCCCTAAAATTTGCAGGTTGACGGAGCCGTTAGACTTGCTCCAAGTCTCTCTTTCATTGCATGTCATATAGTATCAATCCACTATAGTGTACATTACATGACGTACCACGGAGGGGCGGAGCGAGAAGGAGAGACTTGTCAACTTCGGAAAATCTCTGTTGAAAACTGAACAGAAAATGCAAGACTTGCTTTAATTGTTTTCCTTCAATTTCTTTCTGTATTATTTACTATAATGGAACTTATGTTATTTACACTGTGCTAGATCAATACATATAAACACTGACAGAAAACAATTAAAGCAAGTCTTGCATTTTCGGTTCAGTTTTGAACCGAGATTTTACGAAGTTGACAAGTCTCTCTTTCTCGCTCCGCCTCTCAGTGCTACGTCATGTAATGTACACCATAGTGGATCGATATGACAATGAAAGAGAGACTTGGAGCAAGTCTACGGATCCGTCGACCCGCAAATTTTAGGGTGGGCGAAACGTAGGTCTGTTTTCAGGCTAATCAAAACCATGAAACGTTATGACACAGAATACTATACAGAAGTCGATTTCCATTGTTTTTTTTTGCGTAAGCGCTATTCGTCATGATTGATGATTCGTCACTCAGCAAGTACCGTAAACAGAAGCAGTCGCCCCCCCAGAGGTCGCCCCCCTGGTTATGATGCGCTAGCGCGTATAACGTTTGGTACAACTGGCCTGAAACTTAATATATTGATTCAATAAGTTTAATGTCAATATATTTATTGAAAATTGGCTATTATGTCAAAATAAGAAAACTTTAGATTATCACGCGAAAAGGCAATGTTTTTATGAGCAACTGTTCATCGTTAGTTGCAGGCGACGGCAGGGGCGCACATTCAAAAAAAATTTGGGGGGGTGTCCTATTTTCCGGGACCGACTTTTGTAGTATTTGTGTTTGATAAGAAAAGCCAACTATTTTAAGGTGTGCACAGTACTCGTGAACGGTGAACCGGTGAAAGTTCGGTTTAATTAATGTCACAGTCTTGTTATAAATACAATTAATATAAAATTTAAGAGTTGCATGGACGTATGGCACAGGGCCGTAGGAAACTCTTTTCGATTTGGGGGGGGGCTGAAAGCGAGGGCCGAGGCTCGAGGAAATTTTTAAATTTAGAGTCTCTGCAATGCCATTTCCTGGACTTTGGGGAAGATTTAACAGAATTCTGATAGTCAGAAAAAAGCGTTTTAGCATGTCGAAATTTACAATTTATAGTAGTACTAAATGGCCGAAAGCGTATTTAATTAACTATTATATGTTGAATAAGTTGCAGGAAAGTGTGGGTAATACCATGGATTGTAAAATAACATGTACTTTATTATCCATGGTAATATCTTCATTCTTTGCAGTTTGTCACAGACTAAATGATAAAGGTCTGCATGACATGTGACGGCCCTGTGGTTATTGCACAAGGTCGAGTAACTATGTAAAAAAATATCATACAGGGGTGTCAAAAAGTAGACCGTTAGAAATTAACCTGTTGTTCTAAATGGAATTTATAGCCAGTATATTAGCCACAAGCCCACAGTATATTATTAAAGAACAGTACATTATTAAAGTCAAGAGCTCAAATATAGACAATAATGGTTCAAAATAAATCTATAGTGCGTGCCCACATGATATTCAACTAAGAGTATTAAATATCTGACAACTCAAATTGCTTAGAAAGTTATAGCAATTAACAATAGATTTCAGGCAGTCAAATCAGTTTTTAAATAGTTCACCTGCACAGCTTATTTGATCGAAAAATGACAATCGGAATTACTTCACACAAATAAGGCGCTCTGTTTTGGCAGCTCGGCCCAATGATCAACAACAGTGTCTGGGTCCATTATATTGTATCCGTGAGATCCTTTTCATATCCAAGAGTGATTAGATCCCTTAGACTTTTTTCTTTCATCACTGAACGAATGGCAGTCTTAATCAATTTAAGCTTCAAACTCGAAAAGCTGCGTGTTCACTCGATGCGGATGTAATCGGTTATCTAAATGTGTATAAATGCTATACACTGCCACATACCTCGGTAACCTCTCTTCGATTTATTAGAACGTAGACTCCTCCAAAATTGCGGATGGACTCATAGACAGGGATAGAATTCCAAGAGTTTAAATAAACGTTTAGTTTTTCAGAACTTCTGCTCTAAACTTTCGGGGGGCCAAAATTTTTTTATGGATTTCGATTTTTTTGAATTTCTAGGTTCATTAGAACACTATTTCACGTATTTTAGGACGAGGTTGGAAGAAAAGTTACAACCACAAAAAGTCGCCTAATTTTGTTAGATTCCATTTCCAAAATGTCAACCTATTTCTTTTTTCGACACAAAATGATGTCTTTCAGATTTTAGCCGGACCGACTTTTTTTCGTCCCATACAAG